AATAACAATTATATATGTTGTGTAATTGTTGTTGACATTCCTTAGTATTTATTAGGGAACATGTAATATTAATGGATAAATAGAAGGGACACATTAAAAAAAAAAAAAAAAATTAAAAGTTTAAACTTTACCAGTTCAGTAAATGAGCATCTAATTGCTTGCATGGGAACAGCTAAATGTAGATAGGTGGGGTCCCCAATTTTCACCAATCTTGTTTTTCAGATGTTCTGAGCCATTGACTTCCATTTGAAAGTGTTCCTAGCATTTCTTTATAAACCATTCCCTGAGATTTTAAGGACCAGACAGAGGTCAGAAAACTTTCCTGACAGGCAGAAGCAGGATAATCCTTACCCAGAGCAAGTGATAGCTTGCTTTGATTCACCACAAGAGGCTGCAAAGTAGATAAAATATACCAGTTCAGAAAGGAATTAGACAAATTCATGAACAGTGGTTCTAAAAACTAACTGGAATAGGCAGAAATGTACCCTCTAGCACCCTTAACACAATACTGAATGCTGAGAGAGTGCAAAGAGAATCAACCACATGTAATTGCAAAACTCAGATCTTTTCTCCAAATCTTGCCTCCCATTCACTCTCCCAGGCATGGAAGTCAAAGTGAGACAGGCAATGTTTTTAGCAGGGCTGCCAATATTAATTTCTTCCCAAAACAAAGTGCTAGGACTGGGAAAGAGCTGGGACAGAGAACCAAAGAGAGAGCCTTGGATGTTCACCGCTGTTGCTTGTTTGTTTACAGAAGCTGGAAAAGGTGCTTAAGATTATTTGTTGGAGAGGGAAACAGCCACCTTTCTTTCAGCAGAAACTGCACACTTCCCGTCTTCCTTCGGCAGCCATGGGAGTCAGCCAGGCTTTGCAGAGCATTTTTACAAAAAGGGCTGCCTTTTAATGAAGGAAGAATGAAAAGGCTGGAGGAAAAATTGGTATAGGGAGGAGATGGTTCATGAAAGACAAGTATTTAGCTTCTCCGGGAAGTCTACAAATAAATATTTGTATTTTGAATGGAGCCTTCCAAATGCGGAGTGCCATGAAGCATCTGTCCACTTAACTGAGTTCCCTAACCTGCATTCTCTTAGTATTGCTGCTTCAGTTACCAGTAGTGAACAGCTAGAAATAAGAGCCCTAAAATATTGAAAGCAGCACCATTTTAATTATTCAATTTCATTTTAAAATAATAAAAGCTATTGTTTATATTAAATTCTCAGTAGAATACCAAGTGTACTTCCAAAAGTAATACATTTTGAGACTGTTCAGCTATGTTAGAAATAAATGTATTATTGACTGTTAAGAGTTCTGTTCATACTACATTAACTTTTGTTGAGTATGGGTTTATATTAAATGAAATAGTTCACAAAAAGATACATTTATGAGATGAAAAAAGAATCACTTTTTTATGACTCTCGGAGAGAATACAAAAAAGTTTCCTTAACCTTTACTTTTTCTTGAATATTCTATACAGGAAGACAACTTGATAGAAAAGTGGAAGGGAAGTGAAAAGGCATCCTGCTCATAACTCAATACACACAAACTTAAACACTTCCCACAGTAGCCCTTGAAGAAGAGCTGTTTTGTGCCCAAGGAGCAGTTCTACATCAAGCCTTCACTTTAAAACATCCCGTCCAGGCAGAGGGTCTCTCTTCTGCTCCATCTTCTTGTCGTACTATTTGTCCACAAAACTAGTGGGTGGTGCAGGGAGGGGGAAGCACTCAATCAGTGACAACAAGTAAAAAGCTAACCCATGACTCAAAATTTATTCCTAATGTAAGAAAAGATAACTTAAAAGCCAGAAGAAATATTTTCTGTTACTACTTGTCATTGCAATACACTTGAAAACTTATACTTTTTCCCTACACTGTTTTCTGTCGTTAAACTGAATTTATGTACTTTTAATGCCTTAAGACCGATACTATTGATATTTTAGCAGAATAATAATTTATGGTAAAACAGTGTGATGCTTAGAATAACATCCATTAATGATCAGTCTTCATGTTGTATGGCACAGTTCCTTCTCCTCAGATCAACCTTTTCCAAAAGCTTCTAAAGCAGAAAAATTTACATTCTCAAAAGGATACTATAGATGTGTAAAAGAAGGTGAAGTATGAGAGGGGAACAGTGATCCTGTTTCTGTATATTTTTTACCTGCATGATACATCATTTTCCCTTCTAGTCTTTCTTTTCTATTGCTCTTTTAGTCTCTGCATTTGCAGGGTTTTACTATTTGTTATGCCCAGTCATAACGGGGTCTGCAATATAGCTTCGTAGCATTCCTCGTTTGAAGCACATGAACCTTAGACAAAATGCTGCTCATCTGTTTCTGGACTGACACGAAGCAGGAAGACCACAGAGGGCTGTTCTCATTTGTCTGGCAAAGAGCAAACGGGACACAACTGTGTCTCCACACATTTTTCTTTTATTAACCAGAGATAGTTAAGGAGCTTTGAAATATTATATGGACACTGTGGTGCAGGATGATCCAGTGTGAGGCTCATCTTATTCCTGTGCATGGGGTTATGTCCTAATGGGAAGTCTGCTCCACTGCATGGCTGCCAGCTAATGAGCAGATCCACCAAGATCCCCTCTGTTACAAGCCCAAACATAATATGCTGGGCGATCAGAGTCTGTTAGTGCTGTTCACAAGGCAGCGCTGTGATTATCAGTTGTGGGGATGTCTAGCAGAAACTGTGCTGAATGCAATCCCCTTAAAATTTTTTATTCCCTCCTTGACCTTTCTGGAAATTTTAAACATGCATCTTAGTCTCTTCCTAAATTTGTTTGTGTAGGTCTTTTTTCCAGAATGAAGAAGCATGTGTCCAAATGGGGCTGCATCCCTAGCTAGTGTATATGCACAATGACAACAATAAATGTGAAAAATAACTCTGTCTTTGCTTGAATACATTGTGGGTTTAAAACTGTACATCAGTTGTCAACTAAATGAGTTCAAACATGCCCCATTTGTGTCTGTCACTGTGGTCTGTGACAGCCATCACTGTAGTCTGTAATTCTGCCATCACTTTCATCTACTTTAGTTATTCTACCTGTTTCTGAATTTTTAATCCCCTTTTTGACAATTCTAAGTAATTTTTTTTTTTGTCTGGTGCTTTAATTAGCAGTTTTGCTTCCCAGTGAATTACTTGCTGACTGAATCACGCAATCCTTCACTTGACAGGAAGGGTGTAAACAAAGAGAATTTTGAGTAACAGTCAAAACTGCAGCATTGCCACTACACCATAAAAACTAACTTCAAAGATGAGATGGAAAAAAAAATAAAAGAGGAGTTTCAGATGTCATTAATGCTGTATTTGGATACTGTATCAGTAAAAGCTGTTCTGTCATTCACTGTGGAAAGATAACATTTACCCTTAAATACTTATTAAGTAATCTTTTGTAAGCCAGGGCTGCGTACTGTCAGAATTGTTGGATTGTATTGCAGGTTGGGAATGCTACTGCAGCACTCACATGGCACATTCTCCTAACTTACAGCACTTAGTTCCATGACAATTGAGTCACAGAAGCTAAAATGACCAATCTAGAGTCTAGAATAAAGTCATGATATTGCCATACCCATTGCATTAGCACTGTGACCACACTGTGCTGCATAGTAACATCTAATAAAAACCTTCAGCTACCATGAATTTTTCACATTACTGTATTTTCATTTCTTTATATGACATTTAACAATTCAAGAACATTGAAAAAAGTGTTTTCAGAGAGCTGTGTATTTTTGGGGTTTGGTGTTCTTTAAACGTGTGCCGATACTTGGTTGCACTCTTCATTTCTGGAATTTAATTTTCTTTAGAGTTTGATGTTAATTACTTTCAATGTATGTCTGCAATAAGTGAACAGGCTTTTTTAAGGATTATGCATGTATTTTTGGGGGGATGTGTGAGATGTGCAAACAGAAAATTATCAAAAGTAGAATACCTATTTTGTAGTATTTTATTTGTAAAATTTATTGATAAGTGAATTCCATGCAAATAACTTAATTCAATTTAATGTAGAAATACAAGCAGTAGATTAAATGAAAGAGACATTTTTTAAATCATTATTGTAGGCTGAGCTCAATCATTATTTTTCAATGTGAAAAATCACTGAGTACATTGAGACTTATTGAGTTATTCACATGTTTGGAAGTTAAATTCATATTTAAGTGTCTTGTTGAACCAGAGGTAAAAAAGTAATACTGTAAGGACAGTTTTTCAAATTAAAAATTAAAGAGGAAGGGGTTTATTTATTTATTTATTTATTTATTTATTTACACATAAGAGGCTTAGTTAGTCCAAAAGTATTAGAAATAAACTTAGAGCGATATATGAAAATGTCAAGTTACAGACTCAATGTCAAGAAATATGATTACATCAAATTCAAATCACCTTTGCTAAATTATTGAATACTTTAAATATATATATTTTTAAAAATAGTTAAGATGCTTTTGGAGTTTCATCATATCTCCTTACACTTTGTTTGGACAAGTTGAAGAGAACATGATGAACACATTTGTTTTCCAGTGAAGACAGAATAATTTCCAATTAAAAGCTTTTATGTAAAATATAATTAAAAAAAATACAAAATAAAATAAAATAAATGTATCTTTCCATGTAGCATTTGTGTTCAAATATTGAAATAATCTATCTGATAGCTTACTATGTGAGTTTTAAATTAATTGAAAATAATTATGGAATCCCACATATTTTCCTTATATAAACAGAGAGCAATTTAAAAGTTAAACAAAGAGCATATAAGATAAAAAAAATTAATTTCAGTCATTATAAATTGCATGAATTGTAAGAAAAGAAAACGTGTTCTGCTTTCCTGGTAAGGTCCTTTGAATTGCTCAGTAATGATGCATGAATTTGTTTGTCCAAAACATGGGATGGCTCCAGTTATGTATTGTTAGGATTTGCATATTAAACAGCTAAGCTCAGTCAATGCATTATGGAGCTCTACCTCTTTGATGCAACATAACCTTGCATTTTCATTCCTTGCAGAAGGGAATCCATATACCTGGTGGGTTGGAAAAGCCAATGAGAAGCACTACTATTGGGGTGGATCAGGACCTGGCATTCAAAAATGTGCCTGCGGCATCGAACGCAACTGTACTGATCCCAAGTACTACTGCAACTGTGATGCTGATTATAAGCAATGGTGAGTGGTTTACCAAAAGGTAGGATGAGAATGACCAAATCTCTTAACTTTTGCAACACTGTCACTACTTTGTTCTTTGGTAAGAAAGGAAATATGGAAAAAAGAGATATTCAAAGGCAAAAATATTATGTTTGTGATCCCTACTGCAATGGTATCTATCCATGACTTCATTTCCATTTTATTCACAATATCTGTGACTGTCAAATATAAGGACTATATTTATGTTTTCGAGCCCATTGAGCTATAGAAAAGAATGCTGGAATTGCAAAGGCAGGTTCTCATAGGAAAGGCCAGCATTTTAGCTGCCAATGAGACTTTGCCTCCATCAGATTCAGTTATATTACAATTATTACTGTATTTATTATATAACATAATATATTTATTAATTACAGTATTCATTTTATCTCTGCAACTTCTTTTTTTTTCCCCAGAATTTCTCTTCTTTATGGTGTTGTTGCTGTATTTGAATGTGAGAGATAAGAACTGAAATCACTCACCTATTGTCTCTCACCCTCATTATCCATCTTTCATGAGAAAAATGTGTTAAGAACCAGACTTAATGTGTATTATAGAACAAGGCTCTGTATTTCAAAGGAACTTATTGGACTTTTGTACTGGGGAGCCCAGAACTGGACTGAGCACTCCAAGTGTGGCCTCACCAGAGACAAGCTGAGGAGAAGGATACCACAGAGGTAGAGAAGTCAATATTAGAGACAGGAGAATCAGACGTGCTGACAAAGTTCAGAGATAGAATTATATGCAGAGTGAAGAATATAAACTCGGAGGACTCCAACTCAAGTATAGGCACTAGAGCAATGTGGAAGGAGGGAGGGAGGTTTGGTTCTGTGTCAAAATGGTAATGATAAAAGGAAGATATTGTAATAATAATTACAATAATGGTAGAATTAGGAGCACTTACAGTTTTCATTGCCTAAGGCACTGGATGCATAGCCATGAATAATAGTCTCTGTACCATATGTTGAGTGTTTTCTTTTACACCAAGGGAAATGTGTAGGGGAAATAACATTGACTTTTGATCTCTTCTTGAAGATTCTTGAAGAGTCACACATGATAATTTAATAAGCAGTGTTCACTAAATAATCTTTTTCTGTAACCTCTACACCCCCATATACACCAAGATTATTTGTATTCTACTAATAAATAGATTCATATAGTTATTAATTTTAAGTCTATAACAGGATTATCATGAAAGATATTCAGCTGTTCACTCAGAATTCATACAAGAATATATTTATACAGTATTTCTCTAGATATATATCAGAATTTTTTCAGGACAACTGCTGTTTATTAGAGGACTATTTATGAAAAGTAATTATACAGCTGGGTGTTATATTCTAATCTGTGGTACGTGTAAATCACAGGAAGAAACAAATACCTTATTATAGTCTTTAAGGGCATTTTGTTCAGGATTCATATTTTCAGTTTGGTTTTGGCAAAATCTAGTCCTTTCCATAGCCATGCCTTTTTGGTTTGAGAGTTATTTTGAGGAGTCCTAATTAGGAATTTTATCTAGCCAGATTGATCAATATCTAAAAAGCAACTGAGCTTCAGAGCAGAGGAGACCTTGATGACTTCAACCGTCAGGGCCAGAATTTAACCAGGGCCTCCAACACAGCTGTGTGACAGCAAACAGCTCCTGGTTTAGATCACAGAATCTGCAACAGTTTATGATGAGCAGACAGGTCTCAATTCACAGACTGGCTACGCAGCTAGCCACAGCTGTCACCATAGCTTATCAGCACTATTAATTTTAGAAAAACTTACAGTCCTCAAACAGAAGGGCCAAGTAAAGGCTGAAATGGGGCTAAGAAACCAGGTGAAACTTTTGCCTTAATTGCAAGTCTTATCCATAGCTGCAAGCACTGCATTAGATTGCAGTAAGCCTACAGTGATGTTCTGTTCCTGGCCAGGTAATGTGGGAAAAGTTGTTTTGGGTTTTTTTAGGGTTTTGAAGGGGAAAAACAGAGTAGGAGAAGTCAGTAGCCACAGCAGCAACTATATTAGAAAAGGAAAGAAATAAAATGGGAATAGAAGTCTGTTGCATGGAAACTGTGAAGATGAAAAGTGAAAAGGAAGAGTGAGATTCAATACAGAAATTTTTTTAAAGGAGATTTGGGAGCCACTGAGAAGTGACTAAGGCTGAATCAGAGTGATGTAGTGTAAGAAGAATATTGTCAACAATTTTTATTGTAGAAATTAGAAATTGTGTTAGAAATGAAGAAAGGAATTACAGATTGATGAATCATCTGATAACAAAGCAAGGAGAATGCTCCCCTGGAGAACTGGATTCTAACCCTGTCTCTGGAACCACATTCCTGCGTGATGCTTCTGAAGTTTCACAAACATTTCTTCATAGAATAGTCAGTAATTTAATCCTCATTTTCTGGGGATCTAATGGAAACCCAAAGGTCTACTTTGTGGAAACACCAAACATTTAAAGCTGCATCTAGAATAAGGGATCCTTCTCTCTCAGTGTATCTAAAGCTGTCCTTCAAAGAAAAAAAAAAAAAAAAAAGCCTGCAGGAATCCCAGATTGAGCTCTAATTATGTGTTTTCAGCCTCAACTACAATCTGCAGAATGGAAATTATGCCAGATAGTTGCCAATGGAGGTACTGCTAAGATACGTAGATATATGAAGCAATCATTGCTGTACTAATGAGCACTATAAAAAATCCAAAGGGAAAATGCAGTCTTTCTAGAAAGATTTGAAATAACACATTTGATGTAAAATGGGATCTACATATTGAAGCATGAGAATAAATTTGGAGAGCAAGTAGTGTTTTACTAAATGAGTATTGTCTGCCTCCTATACTGAACAATGTTAGAACCCTCTGGAATAAATAATAATCGGTGACCAGTCAAGGACTATATAACATGGTGATAGGTACAGGATACAAATTAAAGCTCTTTAGGCAGGCTGAAATGCTTCTTTTTCCTACATTTTGTGTTTGGTTTGATTTGGGTTTTTTAACCAAGTATGTGAGTAATTTTGTGTAAGTATAGAACCAGCTGTGTTAATTATGGACTCAATTACAGTGTAACTTTTCCCAGGCATTGGCATACACCATAGGCTTGATAAACCTTACATCTGGACAGTTGTTCCATTAATGCATTTTAAAATTTCACTGAGCAGCTTTACACTTGTCTATTTGAATAAAATAGTTGTAGAGCTATTTAGCACATGCCTAATGTGTTGATTATCATACCTGGATGGCACATAAGCCAAATGGGAGATATTGTCAGTGAATTTGAATATGAAATTCAAATTTATGTGTATTTGCACATATCATCTACAATAGAACCTTATTCTTAAAAGAAAGCCATGTTGCTACTGCAATGTAAGTATTAAGTAATCATTTCTGTCATGATAAACAAACAAAAACACAGGTGGGAAGAGCTTCACCCAGAGTAATCTCACCAAAACATCCTTCGTCCCAAATTATCCATGACTTGTGTGCAAAAGGAAATTAATTCAGAGTTAAATTATTCAGATTATATAAAATGGGTAGTTTTTACTCCTAACAAAGATCATTTTTTAAAGAGTGTGTGGTTGACATTCAAAGTCAGACTGTCTCAATCTCGAGAGAACAAAATCTACTAAGGTAGCTGTTATTAGTAACAAGAATTTCTCTGGGTTGGTGTTAAATAAAATCATAATCAGAGTAATTTTAGGTAAAATGTAGGGCTTTTTTAAAAAAAGCTTATTTGAATAAAAACATTATTATTACAATTTAGACAGTTCCTTAAAAAAATGGCTGTCACTGTAGAGACAAGCATATTGTACCAATTAAGTAGCAAATATAAAGATTTGCAAAGCGATTTTGACTCCTAATCTTGTTTGACCCTAAAGTCAGTTAAACACTCAGATTGACCAAAGTTTCTACACCACAGGCTCCTTACTCTTTATTACATAGCAATCACAGTAGGTCTGAAGACATAATATAGTGCTGTTCAAGGATTCAGAAAAAGTGACATAAGTATCTTTTTCATTTAGCACTTCCTGGTGTGAATGTACTTCAGGTTACAAAGTCACGCATGGACTTCACTGCTGATTATTGATGTGGTTGCTGAGTTCTTTCAAGAACTATTTAGTGGCCCTGAAGATGATCAAAAGGGACTAAGGAGAATTAGTTATAACAGTGGTTTGGAGAAATGGAGCAAATGAGCAATAAAAACAGGAGGAGGAAGCCTCATTTTCTTGTTTATACTCTGTCACAGCTTGGATATTGAAGTTTCTTTCTGCAAAGCCTACAAAATTTCTTTATTTTTGTGAGGTGTTGTCATGTGAAAGGTGGGAGTTCAGATTCTTACTCACCTGTCCCCCAGGAAAGTTGAGATTCTGGTGTCCAACAGTCTGTCAGCGTCTCCTAAGGAGACCCTTCACCAACAGATTCACAAGATTGGAGGATACCTCAGCCTCCCTTGTTAGGGGGAACTCAACAGAGCCAGGAGCCCTCAGCAGGCCCTGCCAAGGTGTCATCCACCTCCAACAACTGCAAGGACTCACTTTAACTGTTTAAGGAATAACACTTTTTATTAACACAAATTGTGACAGGTTAATAAGGTTCAAAGTTTGTCAGTGATAGTGTCTACTGCAAAAATATGTTTAAAGCAATCTACTGATACATACACTAAGCAAGCACAAGCTCTGATACAAAATAATCTAAATAATATACTATGGGGTAAGCACAGGCAAAAGGTCTAGTCCTAAAAGCAGCATTTAATGCATGTAGAGCATATTTCTCACCCAAGCATCCCTTGGTGGGGGGGGACAAGATGGACTCAGCCCGTTGACTGATCCCAGCAGTTTTGCTGGAGGTCTCCCACTTTACCCCTACCCCCAACTTACTTTTATACTGTTTTCTTTGTGTTTGGGTGGAGTTTGAGTGGCTCTGGTCATAAATACCTTTTATTTCTGATTGATGTACTTAATGGGAGGGGGGTGGCAGTTGTGGTTTGGCACCTGAGGAGGGGGTTC